TTATGTGGATTATTGTGTAAGTGCATAGAAAACATGATTTGGAAATTGGGGCTAATAATCTCTCTTTTTGTTTTTGGTTTACACACTGGTCTTGAGGACAAGAGCAAGGAAAACAACTGGAAGTACTGGTGCACATGGATGAAATGGAGGGACTTTGATTGAAGGAGTTTCATAAAAATACTGTTTTGACCTGGATATAAATCTTCTGGTGAGAATCCTATCTGCCTACTTACATAAGTTAAGAGCTTATTAATGAGTGCTGAAATCTGCATGATCCTTATTGATCTACGCATGTTTAGTGGGTTATTGTTTTCTGATGAGTGTGTTCTACCTGCTTGGTTACATGACTTGAGGGCTATGAATGAGAAATACTTGTAAATTGTATGCTTAATGCAATTTATTGAAAATTAACATACTACATTATGAGATCCTCTTTATTCTTATGAAACATCACATTATGGAGTGAACTTGAGGAAGCAGAGATGTATGAGAAGAAAGGAATACTCACAGAGTTTGTTGTGAGATGAGGCTATATGAAAAAACACTATGTGACTCACTATTTTAAGGGCTCATTAAACTCTGGTAATCCTGCTTTCCACTTGAGGGATAGGGTGGTGAAAGATAAAATTGGAGACCTCTTTGCTATGCTAGTCCTATGTTTGTATGTACACAGTGATACTTTGGATATCAATTTTTGGACTTAAATTACCACTTTACTGGACTTGATTAATATTGGATTAGCCTATTGTGTCACAGTTCACTGTACATTAAGGGAAGTGTAAAGTTTTTTTCACATTTCATAACACTGGAATATTGGATGTTGTATGAGTTGAAACACTGGGGGTGTTATTTCACAAGGAGCTTGGGGGTTTGTGGGAGTAAAGCTTAATGCAAGAAAAGTGGTCTACCTACAGTTTTTATCAAGCTAAGCTATAAGCCTTCTAGTGCATCTCATTGCTGTTCAAACTACATTTACTATTTCAGGCCAGTTCCGCCTCACTGCTTATTATAAGATTTTATATACACTACCTGTATATTTTTATACAATTTTGTGTCTATGTGACTTTTTATTTAATCTTGTTGTCAAATTCATTTCCATTGGGTTGGATGTTTTCTAGATATTTCCCATAAATTATATAGACCTAATCAATCTACCATGATTAACAAATTCACATAATTATTTCTGTTACTGTTGGTCTACCCTGTGTGTTGAACTCATGACCATTGGATTCAAATGGATATATCCTAAATGTTATAGACTTTCACCATGATTGTTTCATTTTCTACCATCTTATGTACAAATTATTTAGCTATTTCTATATCTGTATTATCTTTATGAGATATTTATTGTATGTTCCCGCTTTTTATTGTTTCCTTACACACTAGCCCTAAGGAAAGGGAAAGGCATTTCCTTGAAAACATTTTGGCTTTACTTGTTTTTATCATTAAAAATTTAACCCTGTTGCTGCAAGGCCCTGTATTCCACTGTTAAAGTGGTAGTAAACTCTTTTTGTATACTTTTACCTACAGGTAAGCTTCTAATACAGCTTTCTTGTAGGTAAAAATGAATATCTCCAAAACGTGCACCGTTTAAGAGATATTTGCTCCTTTTGACTGCCAGCGCATGTGCTCTGAAGGAATGTCTTAGGGACTCCTGCGTAGCTCGGCTAGTCAGACGGCCAGAGCTCACGAACTCAGAAGGAAGACCAGGTGAAGATGGAAGCCTCTGCAGTGGTGACAGCTCACTACTGGAAGGCTTTTTTTTAAGGTAAGTCCTTCATAATGTGCTAGTATTCAATGTATACTAGCACATTATTACATTACCTTGCAGGGAAAACTTTTTATTTTTTTAAAGTGTGCTTTACTACTGCGTTAAATTCAGGTGGCCAGATAATTTTTGTGATTTTTCTATAGTTTTTGTATTTTTACTTTTTTTTTTCAGTGTTTGTAAAAAGACCCCCCAAATCATATCTTTTCTGAAGGCTCATGACCAGTAGAATACAAAGAAGGCACTAATGATATTTTAGGCCCCGAAATAGTTCCGCAAATGTTTATCAATTCACTATTTTCACTGAAAATACACTAAAATCATTATTATTGGATACATATATGGCATTTACAAAATTCATGCTATGTTCCTACTAAATATAAAAGTTAAAACTGTATTGAGTTAATAAATAACAAATATTTGTACTTTTTAAATTGTGCCTTTTTGTGAAATGGTGAAAACTGAAGGTGAGTTAAACTGTAAATAAAAACACTTTACTCTAAAAATCTGGAGGTTATTATTTTTTACAACTTTTGTAAAAGACCCCCACAAACCATAAATATTCTAAAAGTACATGACCTGTAGAATGAAAAAAAAAGTGCTACCGATTTTGTAGGCCCCGCAATAGTTTATACTTGCTATTTTCACTAACAATACACTAAAATCATTATTAGTGTACACAAACACAACATAACTTACACAATTCCTGCTAAATTGCTACTAGGGCCTCATTTACATGGGGCATACTAAAGTTTATGTCTGTGGAGGACTGTGTTTACCCACCCAAGTGTTCTGTGCATCCCTGTGCAGGCAGTCAAATACATGTCAATTGGGATGCAGCTGCTGCTTCCAATCTCACATCTGTGTGGGTGGGGGTGTATGGGCCCCGAGCGCAGACAGTGTGAGCTCAGGAACATGCATCCAGACCCACATGGATGTCAGATTGAGAGCAGCGGCTGTGTTTGTGCAGTTGCTACATCCCAACTGACATCAATAGGACTGCCTGCGTTGAGATGCACAGAACCCATGTGCATCCACATACAGGTAAACATTGCCTTGCATGGGAGTACACTGTAGTATGTCCTGTGTGAACGAGGCTTTACTAATTTTATTTATATTATTTATATTATTTTTTTTATTTTATTTTCAATATTTTGTACTTTTTTTCCATATGAATGAATAGAAATCTCTGCATAGAGACTCCCATTTATTCACAAAATGGAATCATAGTAAACATTGTTTTCCATGCTCCAGTGATGAATTAACATAGGAGCAATCAGTACACACACACTGCTCTCAATCCTGACACTTTCTGTGTGCACAGAGGAAGCTGCAGCTAGCGGGAGAGGGAGGAGGGAGAGCCAGCCATTCCAGGAACACAGCACAGAGGGGGTGCCGAGGATCAGGTAAGGGGGGGAATAACTGCAGGGGGGTCGGATTGGCAGGGGGGTGGATATTTGTTAGTTATTCCACTGTGTCTCCTCTGCAGGCCCTAAAGCTGGCAGGGGGGTAGAGGAGGGAAGCTGGAGGCTGCAGGGAAGACACAAGGAGTCATTGCTGACGAGATTGGTGTTGGTCTTGGGGTGATCGGTGCAGAAGATCGGTCCTGGAAGAAGGAATATTAGAGTAGCGGCAGGGGGCAATTTAGCTGTAGTTTGTGGAGGCAGAGAAGCAGGTGGGAGAAATGTCAAAGGTGATGATGGTGGTGGTATTGGTGTTGGTGGTGGTGGTGGTGGTGGCAGCAGTGGGTGGGTGGGGGTGCACATTTTAGGTAAATAATGCTGATCAGCGGATTGTCAGTTGCTAATCAGAGCTATTGATTTGTTCAGCAGAATCTGATGGTCAATATTGCTATAAGTTTATGGTCACTGAAGTGACCATGAGCTAATAGCAGAGGAGGAATGTAGGTCCATATGGAGTACGGATCTGGTTTGCTGGAAGCAGTGCTATAGGTCCGTACGTCGCACGGACCTGACAGTGAAAGGGTTCAAATAAACTTCCTCTATACACATCCCAGACATTTCTGCTGAGCATTCTCTTTGTTGCTATCAGATAGGCAGCAGCCTGAGACCATAGTAAGGTTCACCTACACCTTATCTCATAGGGTATTAGCCCCCTGGAAAGAAGACTCACTCCATTGTGTATCCACCAATTCCAATTTTTTCAATGGTCCAGTATGATTTCACACACATCAGATAAATATTGCTCCCTCCAGAGGAGAAAAGATCAGCAGCAGGACATCATGGATAACTAACATCATGGATTACCACCAAAAGAGGGATGACTGGAGTGCCAAGCTCTACCAGTTGACCAATTATAAATATCCCTGGAAGAATCTACTAGTCAGCTTGATAAAATTATATATCTGTTCAACCAACTTGAGTTTTTGAGAACATAAATTAAACATTTCATAGATGTTGAATTTTTACTGAAGTATAAAACAGACCAACAAGTCCCTAGAGATAGGTAACCATGCCACCTGCTTTTACTTTATATAAAAATATTGCAGAACATTGTATACATTTTGATACCAAAAATCATTAGAAGCCATGAAAAACTACTTCCATACAGTGATTCACTTCAAGAAACTTTGTGATAATATACTACCATGTTATTCAAATTGGAAGACATTACAAAAAGTGAAAGATAATAAAGAAATACATAAAAAAAAGATATATATATTCCCATGGTCTTGTTTTATTTCCTTCATAACCCATTTGATTTATAAGACTTTTTGAAAAAGATACCGCATGAGAGTGTACAAAGAGATCCTATCCCTAATAAATCATTATACCGACCCATGCACAAAAACACCAAATATAATGTGAAAGCTCATTACAACACTAGGACAAATTACCAACAAAGGAAAAAAAACAAGCTCCATCACAATCAGGTTACACTTGCCTATACAAAGCCCAAGACCCTAGAGATGATTGCACGTTACGTATAGTTGTTTATAGTTATGAAGTTTATGTTTAACCACTAGCCTACAGGGCACTTATACCCCCTTCCTGCCCAGGCCAATTTCCAGCTTTCAGCGCTGTCACACTTTGAATGACAATTGCGTGGTCATGCAACACTGTACCCATATGAAATTTTTATCATTTTTTGACAGATGACAGAGCTTTATTTTGGTGGTATTTAATCACCTCTGGGTTTTTTTATTTTTTCTTAAACAAACAAAAAAACTACTGAAAATGTTGAAAAAAAATATGTTTTTTGTTAGTTTTTGTTATAAAATTTTGTAAATAAGTTATTTTTTTCCTTCACTGATGTGCGCTAATGAGGCTGCACTGATGGACACTGATAGGCTGCACTGATGGGCACTGATGAGGAGGCACTGGTAGGTGGCACTGATGGGCATTGACAGGCATCACTGATGGGCACTGAAAGGTAGCACTGATAGGTGGCACTGATAGGCGGCACTGACTGGCACTGTTAGGTGGCACTGACTGGCACTGATAGGCAGCACAGATGCACACTGATAGGCAGCACTGACTGGCACTGATAGGCGGCACTGACTGGCACTGATAGGTGGCACTGATTGGCACTGATAGGTAGCACTGACAGGTACTGATGGGTGACACTGAAAGGTAGCTCAGATGGGCACTGATATGTGGCATTGATGTGCATTGGTAGGCACAGATATGTGGCATTGATGTGGCACTGATGGGCACTGGCAGGTGGCATGGATGAGCACTGAGAGCTAGCACTGATGGACACTGACAGGTGGCACTGCTGGGGCTACACTGATCATCAGGGCGCACTGATCATCAGTGCCCTGATGATCAGTGCACATGTCCCCTCCAAGGAATGCCGATTTATCGGCTCTCCTCCTCACGAGCTGTCAGCGTGACAGCTCGTGAGGAGAGAAATGCTGATAACCGGCATTTCCCTGTTTACATGCGATCAGCTGTGATTAGACACAGCTGATCACATGACCGAGCCAACATCTTCGGCTCTTTCCGTGGATCAGTGATCCGCTGTGTCCGAGGGACAGAGCGCACCGCCGATCGCCACGCACTCCCGGAGCTGCGCATGCGTGGTGAGAATGGGAGGACGTCGTATGACGTCCTCCCAGAACGAGAGAACCGCCTTGCATCCGTCATTGGACTATATGGTGGGCGGGAAGCTGTTAAACATTTTGGATATATACATATATACTGTATATATTTCTGTTTTGCTAATATATATATTCCTTATCACAGTGTTGCAGGTAACTACAGCTCTATAACACAATTTTTCAAGCCGAATGAAAACCTTGTGGACATTTTTTCTGTAGAACAACATCATTTCCTCAAACAAGCACGTACAAACAACTTACTGCACTTGAATGAAAGCAATTTTCTAATCACAGACAATTTGAATGTCCCTTTTTTAATCATTTTCTGAATGTATAAAAAAAAAATCACAAACAGAGGTCAGAGCCTGGCCACAATCCAGAATGGCTGATTGATTCTCTCTCCCCACCAGCACAGTGGAATTTACAGCCGCACACAGCTACAGCGACTGCTCCTATTGTACCCCCAGCCAGCATCTGTTCTTTACAAAAAGAAGGAACAAGACATAACATGTGCATAGATGTTCGGATTGTATCATCCACAAAGATATTGTGAATCATACAAAAAAAGAAAGGCACATATGGATAGCCAGATACATGTTTCTACTCCCCCAGGGGGTGAAATCGGAGGTAGGAATAGAATTGCAGCAATAATTGGTGCTCTAAGAGTACATAATAAAGAGTATTCTGCAGTAAATGTCTGATCAGCAACTTACGTATAGCCACTGCGTGGTGGCATCAGACAAAGAGCGAGCAGTCGAGCCAATCCCTCTGAGTCTTAAAAGACTGCTGGCCCACCATGGTCCCATCAGGTCAGACCAAGACAAAATAATCTTTGGATCCTCCCCCCGGTGGGGCCCACGGAGGCCATCATCAACATCCATCATACAGATAAACAAAATAAAAGAACACCGTAATTCAATATCATAGTTAGCAATTACAATAGATGTCCAGGTATAGAACCAGGGAGCACTGATGCTCAAGGCAGTGAGCTCCCCGATTCAACCAAGACACCTATGAGCAAACCACAAAAAAAAAATTAGAAAGGGAAGAAGGGGGGGAGGGGAAGAAAAATAAAATGAAGGGGTAGGGAGGAAGGAGATGGAGGGTAAAGGCAAAGGACCAGCATAAGGGGGGGGGGGAGAGAAAGATGAGAAGGGGAGAGAATGAAATCAGCAGTGAGAGAGGAAGAGAAGAACCAGTCTGTCCAAGTCCAGCCCACACCAACCCAGGAGTCAGTCCTGACCTTCTGGGACTTGTAGGTAAGTGAACCATGGAGTCCACATTTTGTCAAATAGGGGTTGTTTGTCCTGCAGTACACTCACCAATTTTTCGTTAAGCATAATCCAAGTGACCTTGACCTTACGCTTCATCAGTGCAATATCAATGATTGGACTTTTCCAAGCTGTGGCGATGGCAATTTTCGCTGCCAAAAACATAAAGTAAATCAAGGTTTGATTGTGTCTGGAGATGTTGTCAACTGGTTTATTTAAAAAAGAGATACAAGCATCTTTGATTATGCTGACCATAGTGACCAAGAATATGAGGAAATGTATCCTCATCAAGTAGCAACAGACTTTGGGGCAGGTCCACCATATATGTAAGATTGTGCTTGTCTGGCCACAACCCCTAAAGCATAAGGCTGACACCCCTGGGAACATGCAGGAGAGGCAGTCTGGAACCAGGTATCATCTTGCAAACACTTTATGCCACTTCTATCTGGGCAGCATTTAATATGCCTCTGTGAACACGAGAGTTCCAGTCTTCCTCATCAATAGACACATCCAGGTTTCTTTCTCAGTTGACTTGATAAGAAAGTTTGACCAGTGGGGTAGTGAAATATTTGTACAGTATAGAGATGCAGCCCCTCAATTGAGTTCCCTTCATACATAGTGCGTAGAGCCAGATCAGGACTGTTTTTCTGTGGTTACCTTTGAATTTTATGCTGCAGAATTAGACACCAACCGTCGCTCCTTTTCTTTTTTGCATCAATTAATAACTTTCCTTTTCCCATAGTAAATGTGTATGCTTGAGGCACAAATTACATCTCAATCTTTATTTCTCTGTGGGGACTTTAATGATGTTTTAGAACCCTCTATGGAGCCCTACCAATCTCACCCAAAAATCATCCTCTGCTTTATCTAATCTCCTCTCTTCTGGGGACCTGTATGATAGGTGGTGCTGTATCCATGGTAACAACAGAGACTAGAGCTTTTATTCCATAATATATAAGGTGTATTCTAGAATGGATTTTTCCTTTTTGACAAATTCACTTTACAAAGGGTTAACCATGCTTGCACTGGCGTAATAGCATGGTCTGACCAGTCACCTATTTTTCCATCAACCTGCTCCTTAGTAACACTTCTGGATCACCTTTACCTTGGATCCTTAACTCCTCAATTCTCACTAACCCAACCTATAGGCAGCAGATCGATTTGCAAATAGCTTCTTTTTTTCAGGCCAACATAGGTTCATTGTCAGATCAGACTACCTTATCAATGCCCATAAGGCCTTTATTAGAGGCCTACTTATTAAAATTTCAGCCCATGAGAAAAAAAACAATGCACAAGACAGTTGTCTCGGATTACTGCCCAAACTCCACGATCTTGAATCTCACAATAAAGCTCACCTTCACCCCCTTCTCACTGAAGAGATACCTGATTTCCGTATTCAACTCAATACTCCACTCCAAAAGTCATATGACTTTTACAGTAAATTACTTTTTCTTAACTTCTACGCTTTGGGAGATAAACCCAAAAGGCAAATAGTCTGTTTCAAAACTCAATTTTTTGGGGATCGCTCGGGCCTCAGACATTGCGAAGCAGTTCCACAATTACTACTCCACTCTTTATAATTTAAAGGATTCCAGTAATACACCCCCGACCCCACAGCCATACAAGCCTTTTTGCATAGCTTCAGGACATTTCCTCACCTTTTCTGAAGCGGAGATTAGTAAAGCCATCACCTCCTTATCTTTACATAAATCCCCAAGCCCTGACAGTTTTATACATGAATATTATAAGATATTTCCAACATTCCTACTGCCCCACCTTACCAACTCCCAAAGTAATATTGCAGATCATGGCTCCTGCCCTACTGAATTTCTGGAATCAATAATAGTTACTATCCCTAAACCAGGTAAATCTACAGACATGCCTGTTTACTTCTGTTCCATCTCTCTTCTGAACACAGAAATTATATGCTAAACACATAGCTAACCTCCTTGCTAAACTGACCCCCATGCTAGTTCACCCAGACCAAGCTGGCTTTGTTTTAGGTCATCAAACCTCTGATGGCATTAGACGTGTTGTTAGTTTGATACTGTGGGCAGAACATTATCTATGCTTTCTTTGCTGATCTCACTTGATGCTGAGAAAGCATTCAACCAGGTTCATTGGCTCTACATGACTGTCATCCTTCCCAGATTTGGCTTCTCTGGCCGGATACATTGAGCCATATGTGCTCTTTACACTCAACCTAGTGCCAGGGTTTTGACCTCAGGGTTTCCGTCATCCCCCTTCCCTATTACTAATAGTACCAAGCAGGGCTGCACTATCTCCCCAAACATTTTTTCTTTAATCATGGAACCCTTTGTGGAACATATCCATTCTCAACCCCTGATTTCTGGTCTAACTGTAAGATCTGTCCAACATAAAATTGGCCTATGTGTGGATGATGCCCTCTTATTTCTAACCAACCTAGTAAAGTCCTTACCAAACCTCTGCAAATCATTGGGTCACTTTGGATTGATTTCCTTATACATACTCAACCACTCAAAGTCTCATATGTGGTCCATTGGCCTATATACCTCTTCTAAACACCAGGTCTCCTGTGCCACTCCTCTCTCATGGGTTCCTCATTCTTCCTTACAATATTTAGATGTGCAACTCACCTCTCCTAGCTCTAAACGTCTTCTCAACTACTCAGCACTTATAACAAAACTGACTACCATTTGTGCAAATCTCTGTTCTGTGTTTACTTCTTGGGCAGGCGATATATCATTGACTAAAATGTTTTTACTCCCTGTTTCGGACATTGCCTCTTTTGTTCCTCTGAGCCCATTCTAAGAAGATACAGAACATTCTTCAGTACTTTATTTGGAACTCCAAAAGATCTTCACATTTACATGTGAATAAAGAATACCCCTATGGGACTTTAATGCAGCAAACATATCATTACACATGCACTCAAAGGGAACTTTATTAATCATATACTTTATTACATAAAAGTATTTGTAAATTATATGTTATCTTTAAAAACTTTGGCTCTAATAGATATTGCAAGGGTATTTTCCTTCACATTACAACACAATTCCCAAAAGTTACCCCAACTTATTTTGATCATTCCACTTTTTGATCTTCTTCAGGCAGCATAAACACAAGAATTTTTAAATTCACATTTTAGGTATAAGTGGTAATTTGCATATAAGAAATGTATCAATAGCATTCATATAATTACCATTTTGGTACTTACAAAGAGAATTGAGCAAT